GAATTAATACAGTTATACAATATTGAACTCAGTATAAACCCTGTAAGACATAAAATTGAATGAGTTTTTACCCTTTAAAGAAGATTTCCATTTCATATTAAGATATGCTGTTTCCTACATTTTTAATGCTACTAACATATGCTTGCACATGTGTGTTTAATCTCTATATATCTGATTATTACTAGTCACAGTCAGTTACACTCGGATCCTTAGTACCTGAATATGGATATAAAGTCATCGGGTAGATTTCACTGGTAATGTTTATCACCTCTACTAATTAACATGAATCGTGAAGCTTTTTATAGTAACAAAACAAAGAAAAGTCATAAATCAAGACACTTTTCAAATACATTGGTGGAAACATTAAGCGCGCGATTACAGCAAAAGAGAAATCTCAGCTATAGGCCTCAGATGCTATCTGATAACGCTTAGCCTTTTGGCTGGTGGGAGCTAGGGCTTTAATACTTTCCAGAAGGGTTTTATCTGTTAGTCACAGGATGTTAAATTAGAAACAGATGTGTGCAAGGAGTGGCTAGTTAGGGGGCTAAAGATGGCCCAAGATAAATTGTATTTGGCTTTGGACCTGAGGCACTCCAAACTCTCCACAATCAAGTTCTAATCAGTTGATCAGTCTTTGCAGAAAGTTCACTTTCAAGATGCAGTTTTTCTGGGACCTTTTGTTCACATTTTCCCCCTTTTGGCCAAGCATCACATTTTGTGCATGCAGGGGGGCACATATTTATCCCCACATTACTTCCTAGGATCTGATGTAGATGAGGCTGGGTAGCAGGCAGGAAGAGCAGTGTTCAGGAGAGAGAAACAGCTGGTAAAGCCGAAGAGGAAGTAAATCCTGGCTCATAATCCAAACCTGGCTTTTTCTTTTTTCTTTTTTTGGCTTCTATATCTAACAACATGTGACACACAATAGGATAATTATAATTAAAATTAAAATAATCCAGAACATTATGTGACCTAATGAAGTAAATGTAACAGATGAAGGAAACATGTATTTTATAAAAACAAGATTGGGACTGGAGAGGCGATTAGGTGGTTAAGAGCACTGGCTGCTCTTGCAGAGGACCTGAGTTCAATTCCCAGCACCCACATGGTGGCTAACAACCACTTATAACTCCAGTTCCAGGGGAATTTGACACCCACCCACTTCTGACCCCTGCAGGCATTGCACAACACAGATGCACTTACACATATGCAGGCAATACATTCAAACACATAAAATAAAAATAATAAATAAAATATTTTAAAAAGATTGACTATATCTTTCCCTTTGTATTTACAGTTATTTGTACTCTATAAATTATCTTATTTTTACTTAGAATAATTAAACAAATCTGTTATCTTCTAATTTTTGGTTTTTCTTTTAGCTAATTTGACATTATAGTTGTAACCTCATGAGGCGTGGCTAGTCTAACTCTAAAGATTGATCTTCAATATTTAAATTATCATAGCTCTTATCTGTGGATACTGACTTGATTCGTTTTATTATGTTAGTATCATTTTAGATTTAGTTTGGAAAAGTAAGTGAAAGACATTATAAAAGAAATTACATATCAATGTAGCATTCTTTGAACTTTCTTCTAACAAGAATGTCTTCATTTACATACCAATTAATAACACTGATAGAAATAAGAAATCAATATGTTAGAAATCAGAATTTTACAGGCCTTGTAGGCATAACCAAATATTTCTTTTTATTTTAATAATTGGAAATTAATCTGGGACTCTAGAAATCACTATAGTATTGTCCATTTCCTCTTATTAATAAAATATAAATATTGTTTAATTTTTTTAATCCCACCTAATTGTACTATATAGGACACCTTAGATAATCATTTAGTACTTAAGGTATAAAATATCATGAATATTGTTGTTTTTAGAGATTGATGTCTTTTGTATAATTTGGATAAGAAGAGTTAACCCAAATCTTTGAGTATCTCTAGAGTAAATAGGGTTAAAGATGCTTTGTTAAACACTGGAGCATGTTATAGGGCTTTTGAGTCTAGTTGGTTGACTTCAGTTTGTATATATATAATATGTACATATATAAATAGGCAAATTTGAAAAGTAAACTTTTATCCAAATTATACTGAATAATGAGAAAAATAAATTTTTTTTTACAAAGAGGGAAAACATTTGAATCTTTTTTTTTTCTTTTTTTTGTCTTTTTGAAGCAGGGTCTCCCTGTAGCCCCAGCTGTCCTGGAACTCACTATGTAGACCAGGATGGCCTTGAACTCACAGAGATCCGCCTGCCTCTCTCTGCCTCCCAAGTGCTGGGACTACAGGCGTGCACCACCACGCCCAGCTCCATTTGAATCTTTTAAACAGGAAACCTAGTTTTGAGTAAGGTAAGGGTTCTGAGTAAGCAAATAATCATAAAAATAACAATAAAACATGCTAGAGAAAAACTTCCCTTTTAGGTGTTTAAGGACATACAATTGGACCAGATAAACTGATTTTTTTTTTGTCATTTACAACTTTATTAAAATAAAAATTATCATTTAGGAATATACCAAGTGAAATATTAAGTATCAGAAACCATTAAAAATATCTGATTACAAAGGGTAGGAATAAAAGATGAGCGACACATTCAGTTATTCGAGGTACTCGAAGATGAGTCCCACCCAGCATTTCTGAAGTCCACATGGATGAGTTCTCAGATGAAGTAGCCACATGAGAATCAGGAAGTTTTGTAGTTTTGTAGCACAGGTGTCAGAAGTACCTGGATA